GAATTTTTTCTGTTGACTTGTATGAATTATTATTAATGGCATTAATTCCCAGATCAAAACTATCATTAATTTTTTCTATTGACTTGTATGAATTATTATTAATGGCATTAATTCCCAGATCAAAACTATAAGGAATTTTTTCTGTTGACTTGTATGAATTATTATTAATGGCATTAATTCCCAGATCAAAACTATCATTAATTTTTTCTGTTGACTTGTATGAATTATTATTAATGGTATCAATTCCCAGATCAAAACTATATGGCATTAAAGATTTCTCTGTATAAATTTTCTCTATTGATTTATATGAATTAATTCCCAGATCAAAACTATATGACATTAAAGGTTTCTCCACATAAATTTCCTCATCAGTAGTGGATTTATCCAAAACCTGGTAAAGTGTGAAAAAGTCTTAGACTTGGATAATAATACATCAGCCAGATAAACAAGCATGTTTAACGAACCTTTTCAACTCTAAAAAAAAAAAATATGTATATATTGTACATCAGAAAATTAAAAATACTGTAGATTTATACAAGTTTACATAGCAATGATTGTAATCACCATTCTTTTAATAAACTAGAGTGATGGCGAGTGGCGGGCGATAACCACCACCACCATCCTTAAAACACTTACCCTCGATTATCGGCAATTACTCTTCCTTTGCCTCTTTTATCTGAATATTTTTTAGATGACATCTTTAAAATAAAAAAGAAGTTTGTGATTTGATCGACGCGCACACATTAATTATTTATCCTATTGGGTTTTTTTTTGGTAGGACAGGCGCAAATTGATTTTTTTTTTTTTTTGGATTAATTTATTTTTTGACAGTCCAAGGTGACAAAACGTGAGTGTTGTTGTTTGGTTTGGGTCTCATAAAGAAACGTGTTAATAACTAACCAGAGGTACTATTTTTTATTTGCATTGATATAATGTGGTGTCTTTTATTTTAGCTTATAAATATTTTAATTGGAAACAAAACGCGGAACAGATCTTGCTAGGTAATTACAAGATTTTCATTGATAATATTAATATTTGGCTTTTTGCAACCAATATTAATATTAATATATAATTTAACTACAAGATGTCAAGGCAATAAATATACCATTGAATATGAAACATTTGATATGCGGAGTTTGATTATTGGAAATTGGCAAGTGTTGAAGCATGCACGCTACCTTGAACACTTACAGCTATTCTCTCATCTTCCTTGTGTGTACAAGGCTAATCTGACTTGCGCCCCCCGATGATACAATGATGCAGCTGAATTCCAGGGGGGGGGGTAGCTTGGCCCTGGAGTTCACCAAGACTGCATCAATTGTCAATGACACTTTTCACTAATCTTCCCAGACCAGAGAAGGCTGCTGGAATGCTGGCCGAAAAGTTGCTTGCAATGATTCTACTCTAGGGTAAGGGTGGCTCTGTGACCAAGTTGCAACTCTACAGATGAATTGTAATATTAGGTATGCATAAACATCCAGATCCATCAAAGCAATGAGAATCTGCAGCTTGTTTCAAGCACCAGGAGGTTACAATTCAGAGCAGGGTTTGTGGCCCTGAAATTGCATTTTGAGTCTGATGTTAAGAGGAAAATTGTAAAATAGTGTCTGTTTTGTATAATCATTTTCATAAATTCTGTTTCTCTGATACTAAACAATTTATAATTTTTGCCCAATCAATCCCCTGTCCTGTAGATTAAAATTACCACATGATTATTATACATCTTTGTCAGCAATGTGCCAACAAGAAAAAAGCCACAAAATGGTTTGGATTTTGGTATGCTATAAATTAATTATTCCCAAATTCTCTGTTTCTCTTTAATTTTTATTTGTCAACTGACCTTGTTATTTAAATGGGGGTAGGATTGTTGGTGAATAGGCATGCCACTGACAAGACAGGAGACACCTTTGAGACATACCAGCCAAACTCATAGAAAGGGATCTTTTGTCCAGACTTAGGGTCACATGGATGTTAAGCACAGAAAATGTACA